ACTAAAAAAAAAAACATTTAGCGAAATCGTCCCAACCGTTCTCAATTGATGATTTACTCTAAATTTTTCACACTATTTTTATATGTATATATATAGATAGTAATTTACAGTTCATGACAAAAGCACTACAGTAATCCTTGCATTTCATTCATGAATTGCATATATGCATCGTCCTTTGTAGCTGCTTTGTTGGCTTCTGCTGTTTGATTACTTGGTTCTTGAATCAACTTAGGTCGAGTACCAGGTTTCCGAGTCTCCTCACGCTTTACTCGCAACGTGGATGGTACAAAGCGTGTAACGTCGGCACTTAAATTTCTAAACGAAAAGAGGAAACAGTTTTTATTTATAAAACTCATATAATAGGAAATTTCGCACCTAATCTGTGGTTTTGCAGTTATTGTAGTTACACCTTTACTTTGGTCTTTGTGGGTTAGTTGATGATTCTTATGATGATGTGCCATTCGAGGTGGCATTCCGGGCGGTGGACCTGGTGGCATTCTTATTCCCATTCTTGGTGGCATGCCACCCATGCCAGGAGGGCGTGGTCCGGGTGGTGGGCCTGGGGGCATTCGTATACCAAAAGCATGTAGGGCGCCAGGTGGGCGTAATGGAGGTGGCCGTAAAATCATAGATGGTGCCAAACCAGCTACTGGGGGCATTGGTGGACCTGGAATTGATAGGCGTGGACCAGCATGAAGAGGAACAGGTGGCAAAGGTATGGATACAGGTACTGCCGCAGGTCCACTTATAACAGCGGTAGAAATATACTCATGCTGCGGGCTTTTTGTCTCGTTTCGCTTCCTCTTAGGAGATCGTTTAGCATCTTCACTTCCATCACCACTATCTGAGTCTTCTGAACTACGACTGCTTATAGGTGTACCATCTTCATCATCAGATTTATGAGATGTTTTAAGTTTGCCTTCGTCATCAGACGTTGAAACCTCATCTCCACGCATGGCTGCCTCTCGCTCTTTTTCTTTCTTCTTGTGCACGCTTTCCATTTCCTTCATAAATTCATCAATATTCTGCCCAGAAATTGCTAACATTCGCTGCTGCAATGAATTTGGCTTATTTATTGCCTTTGACTTTCCGCCTCTTAATTTTGGAGTATATTCTTTCAGTTCAACTTCTTCATCTTCGGCATCTGTGTCTAAGTCATTCATTTCAAGAAGATTAGGTGCTAGTCCTGGCGGAACACCCAAAAATTCCTTCTTTTTCGTGTCGTTGGACTTGTCAGCAGCTTTAGAAGCCTTGCCACATTAGAAGACAAAGTGATTTAAATAAATTAATGTGAGCATTCAATAAAACTTACGGGATCACTTGGTTTTTTTATCGCACCCGGTGGTGCACCAGGTGCGAATGGTGGCAAAGACAAAGCCGTTGGCGGAGGGGGCAATCTATTAGAAACGTGGAACCCTATAATATTGTTTGAACCAGCAGCAGGAGGTCCTTGTGCGGATGATGGTAAAGGAATTTCATCTATTTGTACACTCTGTGCATGCTTTACGCTTTCATAATATTGTTGTTTCTTCAGACGTTTTTTTTCGTATTCAACCTCCTTACGCTTCAACTCTGCCCAATGCTCGGGTTCGTCATTATGCTGAATTATATTCTCGTTAAATGATAATTTGATTTATATTACTGACGCAACTTACGTAAAGTCGCATCACACGATCAAAGGTCTCTTTCAACTTCTTCCTTTTATCACGAAGAACCTTCTCATTTAAAGGCGATGGTTGTAGCACATTGTATTCTGTTTTTGATCATTACAATCAAATCAAAATGTATTGGGTATAATGTACATAACATACCCATTTCATCGATTTTCTCCATTTCTTCTAAAATCTGACCAGGATCCTTATTTTTGAGAACGGCCGCTCTAACCATTTGCCTTTGCCGTTTATTTTTTTTCAGTTCCTTTTTACGAGCTTCCTTCCCTAAAAGGTGCGATGCTTTTAAGTGGATAACAATGCAAATATATATTTAAGTATACGTACGTGCTTGATCAGTTGGATTCATGTATTTTCCACTTTTCGTGGTATTAATGGAACGTCGGCCCATTTTGTTGGTTTTAAATTATTTTGAACCGAGTAATGAAAATATAAATGAACTTTCTTAATTTTCTCACAATTTTTTGTTTACCGGATTCATATGGCCTTCTGTCAAACAAAAAAGAAATGACAGGGCGTATATTGATGATATAGGTTTATCGATAAAGTTGTGTAGCCACATTTCTGAAAATTTTTAAGAGCCACCGCACACCACAGACTTTATGCATGATTCAATATTGTTGAATAATGGACTTTATCGGCCGCCGATTTAAGGCTCAGCCAGATAGAAAATCTATTCTGCATCGCAGGGATACTTTTGACTGACAAATCGTACTCAACATGGCGAGGCGGCACAATGAAACCAATTACAGATTAGGGAGTTAAGTTCGAAAATGAAGATAATCTACTTATTTGTAAACCTAGTATAAAGGATTTGTTAACATCACGAGCACCACTATTTTGTACCTTTCTTTAACTAAGGAAGAGTTAATTCTAAATTGTGTTTAAAGTGACTGACAATGGGCCTCCGCACACTAGCCTGCTCAGTCGGACTGAGCAGTCCACCACTCGAACGCACACTGGACTGGACAGTCGGCCGAAAACAGGTTTCAGTTTTGTATACATGAACTACGCTTGATTGTGTTAGTGCATGTGGCACATGCAAACAAAACGAAATACAAAACATGGTGTCTATGTGTGCGTGTCAGTCCATCTTCAATCCGCGATTTTCGCGGACTGAAATGAATGAGGTAAACTCGAACTCTCTTCCCCCTCTTATCCAGACAAAACCGGTTTTAGGCGGACTGAGCAGTCCAGGGTGCGGAGGCCCAATAATAATTATTATTTTTTTGTCTTTAAGTTACTCCAGAAAAGTTTACAATGATTAAAAAAGGAGAATTATTTGGCCCAGCTAATGGTTAATTTTGGTTTTCGTTGTTTTTTCTTTGTTTACTTTTCGCTCGTTTTCCAGTGAAACAGGATGGCGTAGAACCCGCTCAAAAAATCGACTTTTTTCACTCTCTTGTTCTTACATGATCTTGTGTCTTTCATACACGATTGCAGACGCCACCTTCTTTGTGGCGTATCCGTTATTGACGTACAAGTACCCATTCTGTCCTGCCTATAAGTACTGGCGAGTTTAGTTTGAAATCTTGGTTGTTGTTTGTATGTTTTGTTTTAAAATTGGCTAATATTTCCTTTGTTTAATGGACGAGGAGCAAAAATACAAACTTATAACCTGCGTTGATCCCAGGAAAATTAATGTGCCAATTAGAGATAGTAGGTTTTCTTAACAATTTGAGAGTAATCGCAAATATCCTTACAACTAATAATCTCCACTTTCAGGATTTGCCAAGCTAACGCTATCCAATAAGAAGAAACAAGTACAGATGGCAGACGCAAAAGAAGGAGACCTAGAAAGAGATATGGAACCAGATAAACGTGTTAGTCGAAATCTTATGGAAACACTTGATAATGCAATTGGAAACGATTCCATTAAATGTGTACCTTTGCATGAAAATCTTGGCCCTGCTGCATCCACGCTTTCGAATCTTGATATGCCATACTATGTTAATCCATTACTACGTAGTGAAAGCAGTGGAAGTATTCCTATAACGCAATCATGTTTGAATCATGAAAGGGAGGATGTGCAATCTGAAGAAATGCAGCCCTTACAAGTAAGTAATTTGACGGCCGATGACAATTTGCTGGATAGTGAAATAGCTACTTTGACGAAGAGGGTGTCTGTAATGGCCGTGACTGCAAAAGATTTGAATGTAAATAGGAATG